ACTTCTAATTGTTTTTTATTTTTTATTATTATTATTTTTTTTTAATATATGAATTTTTTGTATTCACACTTTTTCATTTATTTAATTTAACTTTAAGTACACTCCCTTTTAAGTTCACTTTTTTTTTTTTGTGTGACCTGACAGAGTTCTGGTTATTTGATATATGCTATATATAGTATCAAAGGGGGTGCTGGTCCTAAGCAATCATCTGGCAAAGTGACACACGACATACGTAGCTTGAGTCATGTTAAATGACATCATAATAATTTGTAACCCTTTAGGCGAAACAACAACAGCTCGAACTCGCTTGAGACTAAATACATATATATATATATATGGTTAATAAACAAATGTAAATGCGATGGGGCACTTCAATTGGTAACATGCTAACAATAATAACAATCATTATAATGGATGGTGCTACGGGAGCGTTATCTATGTGATTTTTCGCTGATTTCTGATATGTCGAATCGTTAATTGACCTATGTAAACAGCAGAGTAAAGGTGTGAAAAGCATTATCAGTAATAAAAGTTGAGGTTATTGACAAACGAACTCTATAAAATGTTATTTTAACAGAGGTGCATGGCATTAGGGGTATTCAAGCTGACAAATGTAAAAATAACAATATAAATTGTGATCAGCTAATGATAGATTAGATACGACCTTGCGAAAACGTAACCAGACCTGCTAGACCACTCCCTCTCTTTCTCTCTGCCGTACTGCCTCTCTCTCTCTCACTCTCTTTTGCACTCTTTGTCTTTATCTCACTTTCATTTAGCGTTTGGCTGCTCCCAACACGCTTTGCGGCTCTGCCTTTGCCTATTTATGGGCATGTTTTGTGCTTCGTTTGCCAATTCAATTGTATTTGCCGTATTCTTATCACGGCCCTGACGCTGTTGATTTGTGGCAACCGATTGATTACTCCACCCTTAATCAATTGTGAAAGATATTTAACAATCAACGATGCAGCAAAAACAAAAATAAAATATATATATAGGTGAATTCTTCTTGAATATTTACTATATATAGCTCAAATTTTGTTATCTTCAATAAGAGCGCTTGAAGCGGGTGTGTCTGACTAGGAGTTGCCCTGCAACTAGCGAGCAATATGAAAGCATAGGCTTACGTCAAAGAAGAACTTTCTATAATTTCGTCATTTGATGAGTTTGGGTGGAGTGGAGAAAGCATTTAAAATATGACTTACTGGATATTCCTATTTTATATATATGTACATATATACCCAATTTAGTATTTATTTATCTCTCTTTAAAAAAATAAAGTTCGATATTTTTATCGATTTCATATAAATAGAAAAGTTTATCGATCACTTGTATTTTACCTTGCATATGAAAAGTAGTACAAATAAAGGGATGAAAGGAAGAATAGAGTCCCTTTCTCTATTCTTCCTTTCATCCCTTTATTTGCGATCATCACGTCTATCGTTCCTGGTGATAGACTCACCCCGCTACCCCAAATTGAATGTGCTTGAGGAAGTCGCAATATGATGAATGTATGATTCATTTCCGTCTCTATATCTCTACTTCTAGTAGTTTATGAATTGCGTAAGACATGGACAGATTGTAGACTGATTGTTAAAGAGGTCTAGATAGGGTTGATTTCTTTTAAAGGTAATATACTTAGGCAAACATTAAAAAGAAGAAGACAATAAACCTTACATTCCCACATTTGTGAAATCTTTCAACTCAAAACTTTGAAGCATTTTATAATCATTATTGAAATTCAAGTTTCGGCTGTTAGGGTTTTACGTTTTTTGGAAGGTTTAGGGCTAGAATCGGTTGAGCCATTCGCAAAATGGACAACTGATTGTGGAATGTCAGTGCATGCTGTAATTTCAATGTGTTTTCCTTTGTACATTTTTCGGCAGTTGTGAATCGTGTTAGAGCCAAATTAAAGAAGTTGCTTTGTTTTGTTTTGCCTCCTTCTTGTAGAACATCAGCAGCAGCAGCAGCAGCAGCTCCAGCAACAGCAGCAGCAGCAGCAGAAACGTCGACGCTTCCATCCGCTGCGGAATTTGCGTCGAATCTTTCGACGTCGCACCATCACTAGCGCCGACACTGGCGCAGCTGGCGGCACTCAGGCAGGAGGAGCAGGAACTGGTTCGATTGCTGCACCTGGATCGGGATCGTGCAACACTTTGCCGCCACCGGCGAGCAGTTCCAGTGAGAAGAATTTGCGCAGCGTTGCGCTAGGTGGTGGCTCGACAGCAGCTGAAGCTGCATCGGCATCCTCGCCAGCATCGCCGCTCACGCATCAGCAGCTCCACGAGAGCTATCAGACGCAGTCGTTGCCCAAGTCCAAGTCCTATGGTGCCCATCGCGATGAGTTGCTGAGCGTGCTGCTGGGCAAGAAGAGAGGGGCTAGCAAGCATATGAACAGCAGCTTGGAGCAGCCAGTCCAACCGCCTCATAGCCACGCCCACGCCCACAACCACACCAACACCCACACTCACGCCCAAACGCAGTCTCAGTTGCACTCCCACTCGGACGCCATGTACCAAACGCAGCGACCGCAAATGGGCGTGGCCGTCTTCCCGGACGCCATGAGCATGAGTCGCAGTGCGTATTTCGCCGAGAAGCAGCGCAGTCACCATCATCAGCGCCAGCTGCGCAGCGTTGGCGACTCCTCGCAGGATCTGGATCTGGCCGAAGACATTGGCGCCGCGGGCGGTGCAGCCGACATGTCCGACAGCCAGCGCAGTCTCAGCGAGGAACGATTGCTGGACGTAGACGTGGACGGGTAAGTCTGCCCAAAGATTCCCCTGATCTACCATCTCTTACAATCTGCTGCTTCTTCTTCTTGTTCTAGCAGCAGTGGTTACACACGTGAAATTCTCTCCCAGTCCCATGACAGCGTTTTTTCCGAATCCGCTACAGCCAGCAGCCTTTCCATCGTGCTGAGGGTGAGTTCAATCAACTGCAACATAGTTACTTCACTCGATAAGATTAGATATGCGAATCAGACATGGTTTAAATTTAATTTATTAGACATCAGCACTTGACTTGACTCGAGCTTCTTATCAAATGCGTGACAAATGGCGTCGAGTTAGGCTTTTAGTGGAAAGTGTCCATAGTGGAGTAGTGCTTGAAGAGAGTGAGATCTGATATTGACTTGGGATTAATGATTTATTGGAGGAAAAGATCTAAGCATGGAAGAGGAGGATCTACTTGTAAGAGTGTAGAATTATTGAGTATGGACAGACGGATGATTAAAGAGACGAAAGGGCGGACTGACAGGTAGGCAAATCTTTCTAGCATGAGAGAGAAAGAGAGGGGAACAGATGTAGACACGCTTAAAGCAACTCTGACTTTGATCTATAATATATGTATATTAATTTTTAGACTCAAGCACACATTGAATCAACAACAATATAAACTTGCTTTGCTTTGAGATCAAGAATGCCTTATAAACCGAGTTTTTAAATAAAATGTAATACAGTCGAGTCTCGATAATTAGAATTGGCACACAGAAATTCAAATTATCGAGAATTATCGAAAACGAATTTTTTTAAGGGGAAATAATTTTTTTTTTCGATTTATCGCGATATAAATTATCGAGAGTCGACTGTATAAGCCCGCGAACTCGTTAATTACTTGATTATGAAATAGTTACCCATTCGATCAATTATCAAAACTGGGAATCCAACTTCTATCTTTAAATTTCTTAAAAATAATCCCTATATTCTCACATTATTTTCTATTCCTTTGCATAAATTTATTTTTATCGTTATGAAGAGACCATTTCATTTATTTGGCATATTTATAATAAATCTTAGATATACTATATAATTCTTGCAGTATGCATATCTTTCCTATTATATAAATAGTTGGCATATCTATAATAGACCTTAGTACATAGTATATAATGGGAATTCTCGCAGTTTATTGAGCGGTTGGAATATCTTTCTTATTAGATAGATGGCATACATATAACAGATCTTGGGTAGTCTTTCAGTTCTGTATAATTTTAACTGTTACATGATGATGATATTGATCACATTTTAAGCACGTTGAATATTTAACTAATTTCAATTTTCTGGTTCGATTACTGCCACAACTCAAACTGGAAACTCCAAATTGCTGAGCACACACACGTACTTGATAAAGAGCTCTGCTATTAACACATGCTCAATGTGATTAACGCGTTAAGTTATTTTTGGGCCACTCATATCGATCCGAACTCCTAAATTGCCCTTGTTGAAGTGTACGTGACTCAGCAGCAGCAGCAGCAGGAGGAGCAGGAGCAGGCAACCCCATAACAAGCACAACCCCAAATGCAAGAGGCGATTTGGTGAAGGGTTGTTGTTGTGCCAGCCGCTTCATGTGTGCCCCACTTGGCGTACTTCATTTGATGGCTGCTGACTCAGATTGACTGCGCATCATTTCAATTGATTTTAATCAAATTCAATTTGCTTGGATTTTCATATGGAGCAGTCATGGAGCCAAGGGCTGGGGTGGCATCAATGCAATTGGTCATCGACCCAGTCAACATTGTTTGTCATCTGGGAAGTCGTCAAATCTGTGAAAGTGCATTCAATTTAGTTGCAGTTCATGTTACAGGGTATCGCCCGTACAGGGTGTGAGCGGCTGTTAATGGATCTATTGATGATCAGCGCGAAAGCTGAGTCAGATTTGTTGCTCAACATGAAATAATCAATTTGAGAGGCAGCTGAAGTAGTTATAGGGTATAGATTTACCATATTTATCTTTTAAAATGATACAGCATATGGGGTTATCTCTGCTAATATGAGATTTTCTTTAATCAAACTATTCTAGCTTAAATTACAGGGTATACCCAGAGCATGTCGTGTTTGTTTTTCGTTTTGTTTATAGTTTCTTGAATTAAGTTCTATTTGTAGAGCAAATCATTATGGTTAAAATTACAGGGTATATTCAGTGTGGGTCAGCAGTAGCTCTTTATTGAGCTGCCCTAAAATTGTAGTTAATTTTCTATCATTGTATTAAATATTTTTGCAGATACAGGGCGTCGTTAGAGTAGGTAAATTCTGTAATAGAGCTAAATTTGATAAGCATCTCATGTTTCCAAATTCCAGGGTATAGTTAGGCCATTTCTTTTTGGAGCTGATTTAAAATTTTAGTTACAAGTTTCATCCTTGTATATTAATTCTTTTCGCAAAACTAAAAAACAGTCTCATTTATTGTTAGAGTAGCTATATTCTGTAATAGAGCTGAGTTTGATAAGCAAATCATATGAATCAATTAATTACAGGGTATAGTCAGACCAGTTCTCTTTGAATGTCATTTCAAATTTTAGTTAAACTTTTCATCATTGTATATTAAATCATTTCCCATAATGCAGTCTTGTTTACAGGGTATCCTTTGATAAACAAATCATATTTTCTCAATTGACAGGGTATACTCTAAATATATCAGCAGCAGTTCTTTATTGAATGGACTCATTCCATATTATTCATTCATATCGTGGTATTCATTTACAGGGTATCACTAGAGTAGGTCACCCACTCAGCAGCTCTATCTGGATGTGATCTGACGTCGCTTGAGTTTGTTTCTTGACTTTGCAGTTGCATAAGCCAACTTTGGTGTCGACGTCCGCGCCAGTTTCGACTGCATAATCAGCGACTGAGCAGAAGAAATGCAGAGGCTGCCCCCCAGTTGGGGCGCCCCTTGTGTGGCTTTGCCCCCAAGCCACTGCATAGCCGGCAGCTATCGGACGGTTACTGTTAGTTAGACAACTTGCTTCGACTAGCTGCAGCTGCCAGAGTGACAGGGGGTTGGCGGAGGGGGCGTGGGCATGCGGGAGGGGGGCTACTCTTTTGGAGCAGCGCGTGGCAATGTGTGGCTTCGCTCCCTCGTCGACGGGCGCCCGCCTCGGCTTCTAATGCTTCTTCGATTTCTGGCCAAACGAGTTACTGCTGCCTGCAGCTCGGCTGCATTCGCCCATCGCCGGTTGCTGCTTCTTGTTATTCCACTTTTTCCACTTGACTGTCAGTTAGCCGCTTCTCTGCTCATACCATCCTCCCTCCTCCCTCCCTCTTTCTCCCTCTCTCTCTCTCGCAATGCAGTTGTCGGCTTATTTGCCAACCTGGTTAGCAAATCCATTGCATTTCTTTTCTGTTTCTATGCTATTGAACTCCTGCTAAGTTTTCCGCTAAATCAGTTTGCTACGAGACGTCGACAACGCTGCGCGCAAGAAACTAAACTCTATCAATGGCTAAATAAATAGAATTTCGAAATTGCCAAAGTGAAAAAGTTCTATTGCATAGAGAAAGAAGTCTCTGGTGTATTTCATTGTGTGTGCGTGAGAACTGTGCCTTTTGTGTTTCGATTGTAGATAAAAAGATCGTCTACTTGAATATTGTGACATCTCTTATCGCTAGCGAGAGAGCTAGATATCTAGCGGGGAATATATATATGATTCATATGGGCATAAATCATCTATAGAATATTTTGATGTTCTAATGACTAGGTCTTTTTTTTACAAGATGGAGATTTGATAATAAAGAGAGAGAGAGAGAGAGAGAGAGAGAGAGAGAGATGAAATGTTTTGGGCATATAAATCTATAAGAAAATTCGTGGTCATCAAACAAAAAAATTGATTTCAGAGAATATTTAGGTATAACCATCGGGAATACAACAAATTTTATAATAACATCCGAGAAATTATTATTCAAATTTTGAAAAGAAAGAGATGAAAAAATGAAATGAGAAAGAGATGGCTTGTTAAGCTTGGGTATTTGGAGCTATTAAATCACTGATATATGAATTATGAATAAGTTATACTTGGTGTTACTTTGTAGAACTGTTCTGATGGACAGATAATGCTTTGATAGAATTTTTCTGAAATACAGATAATTGTATATAGACTAAAAATTATTGCTTTGAGCTTTACATATTAATGAAATAATTTAATATTTCAGACGCAGATTAAACGATGATAGTTTAGAAAGATGGTATTAAAAAGAGTTGAGCTTAAAGAGCTCAAACCAGAATAAAATGAATCAGACGCAAAAATTCCACTGAACCTTTTAGATGTACAAAATTAATCTTTTCAGAGTTTTAAATTGTAGAGAAAAAATATAAAAAATATCAAACGATAAGCCTCAGCAACTGAATTGATAAACTGCTTTTAACCCAAGCAAACATTATAATTGAACTAATTATCTAGGAAAACCACACTCTATAAACAATTAGGCATAGTTGGGTCTCTTGGTTGATTAGGGTAAAGGCTTCAGCTTCCTGTGACGCTAGAAGCGCTTAAGCCTGGTCCAGACTTGCTATAACCAGTTTGAATGGAGAAACAGAGAAAGATGTAGAGACAGACTGAGACCCTCTCTCGTAAAGACTCTAGATAAAATATAAGTAGAAAGAGAAAGAAATCTAGTTGCTGTCCATAATGGGGGCAATTGAACGAGAAACGACAAGTGATGCAGTCATTCAATTTTCACTGTACGACCGAAGAAATGTCCATTTGATGACAGCCATATGGTAACACGGTAACACGCATTGCATTGCGCTAGCGAACGAGGCTGCTTGAGCCTGGGCAGACACACATCAACAGTCAGTTAGTAGAGGGGGGAGGGGGGAGACATGGAGCAATGGAGCTTGGAGACAACATGCAACGTCAATTCACACGCTTTACTTTAATTGCCTGGCTATCAGGCAGTAGTCTGGCCTGCTGGAGAGAACGAGAGATGAGAAACTGGATGCACTAAACCCGTTTGCATTTGCCTAGCCCGTAGGACTTTTTGGCCCCACACTGTCCGAATCAAACGTTCACATCAGCCAATCCAATTGCAACGACCCAAATTCACAATTTCATATGATTACTTTTCTTTCTTTTTTTTTGGTAAATCAGACTTCCCGTTTGGTAGACTTGCATATTGCATAAACATTTGATTTACATGCGAATTCGGCGTTTTCCGTATGCAAGTAAAGCTGATCGAGCTAACATTTGTGAATGCCTAAAGAGTTTACTTTGGATGAGAACTGCTAAGGATAAGACTGATCTAGTATTTTGCTTAGAGGAGATAATATATTTTGTATACCCTAAGCTCATTGAATGGGATATCAGGGTATAATCTTTTGAGAATTTAAATAATTGCCAGAAGGCGTAACAGACCTTCTCTTGATCACATCTGCAGGCTTAATCTATTCAGCAATATCCGTCTCTACCTCCGTCCATATGAACGCATTGATCCCGTAAACCACAAAAGCTTTAGACTGCAATTTGAATTATATACCCGTGTATAGCATAAATAATAGGAATTAATTATTCTTTGTTCGATAGCTCCGCGTAAAATTTCTTAATATCGATAAATGTCGAGCTCATATACTAAATAAGCTAAAGGCTCGACTTAAAGACTTATTCCACAGTAAATATAAAGACTTATTCCACAGTAAATATAATTGTATAAATATATGTGATAAACAATAACATTTCCTTATCGATGAAAATCGATAAATTGATATAATTATTTGAAGTACAGCTCTTGTTATACGTAACGAGACGTTAGAAATTTTAAAATTACCTTGCATTTCCGTATAATAAAAACGATATACGATACATATCGTACATATCGCAAGCAAGCGTAGAGCGATCTCCGCAGAGTACAGAGTATCTCCTAGTGCAGCAGTCTGCACTAAAGTTAATTCTTAGTTGTGCATCTCCCTCATCGTCTTCCATTTTATATATAGGAAAAAAGCTTGCTAAATCGCAATGAGTCAGTAAATTGTTTAGCTCTACCTTTAATATTTTGTTGTCTTACACCTGCTGCCCGCTCGTGGCACACAGCTGGCGGCTGAGCTGTTGTAATCTGTGGCAGGCGGCGGCTAGCCCAGCTAGTTGCATGTTAAGCCAAGCCAAGCCAAGCCAAGCCACTGGCCACTGGCCACGAGTTGGCCCACTCGGCAAAGTGTGCCAATAAATCATGAAATGTGACGAGCCAGCGACCATTCAGGTAGCCGCCGCAGCTACCTTTGCGATGTTGAGAATAGCCGTAGATTTCCTATATGTAGGACGTGCTACCTGCTCGAGCAGGTATTATGAAACTCTCCATTGGAAATATTTTTGCTGAATTATTGGATGCGATTGAGTATCGAGTGTATTGAACTCGCCTTAAAATGCGTTTTCAAATTTTCGGTTGTATATAATTTGAGGAACGAGGTCTTTAACCTAAGCGCATGAAATCCTTAGAAACATGAACGAAAATAGATTAAAATAGACAGGAATTATGCAGCCTTAAGTGCAGCGTGCTCCCCACGCGTCATGCTCCAGAGATGCTGATTAATTCAAGAGGCTGGAGCTGTGAAGTCTAGGAAGTGTCTAACGGAGCTATATAAATAGAGAGAGATAAGGAAGGGGGAGAGAGTGAGAGAGATATATATGATGATTGGTTCAAGAAGCTGAAGTCAACAAAGTGTCTAGCGGAGCTTCAAAAATAGTCAGAGGTTGAGCAAGAGAATGAGAGAGAGAGGGTAAGTGAGGGAGTGTGTGTGAGAGAGAGAGAGTTAGAGAGATCTGCTGATTAGTGCCAGAAACTAGAGCTGTACTTGGAGGAAGGAAGTGTCTAAATCAATGAAGAGAGAGAGAGAGATAGAGAGAGGGGGTAAGTGAGGGATTGTGTGTGAGAGATATAGAGAGATGCTGATGAGTTCAAGAAGCTGTAGCTGGAGCATAAGGAAGTGCCTAAATAAGGAGAGATTGATAAAGAGAGAGAGAGTGAGAGAGAGAGCAAGATTTATAGAGAGGGGATAAATGAGGGAGTCTCATAAAGAGAGAGAGAGAGATGCTGGTTAGTTCACGATGCTGAAGTTGGAGCATAAGGAAGCGTCTAAACAGAGAGAGGTTGGGTCGCGAGGGGAGAGCTGTTGCATTTGTTTACTCGAGTTGCCTTACCCTTGAAATGCCATTGCCGATGACAATAAACAGATTTCCCAGCGCTGCCTGCGCGTAGCGCCCAATTATGTGTTCGACTAGGTAAAAAGTCGTTGAGATAGCATTTCACAGGCCGATGCAATGGCATTGTTAGTGCCACATCTGCTGTTGAGGGTGCTGTTTATGCGGCATATGCTGCTTGCTGCTTGCTGCCTGTTGCCCCGCCAGCTGTCCGTCCGTCCGTCCGTCCAACCGCCGTTCGTCTATTTGCCTGCCCCGCCCTGCCTCGGCACAATTCAGTTTCAGTTGCACATTGCACTTGGTCGCGCTCACATCGTCTCTCTATCTCACTCGGAGTCTCTTCGAATTGTGGCAAGAAAGTGAAATTTTGTGTTGGATCGCGTGTGGCTGCCTCGTAACAATAGCCCTTATTAGTTAATTGTCGAGCGTGTTGGAGGGAAAAGCTACATCTCATTTCGTTGCATCTCAATTGATCCAAAATGGTAGCCGGAAGTGCGGGCAGCCGCAACATTCAAAGCAATCCATTTCAGCTTTCGTTTTCGGTAAGACCCACAATATTCAAGTAGAGCTCTTATCTAAGGCTAAACGGTCTTTTGACGCCTCGTCTCCGGGTCGAGGCTGTCGAAATGATTGACTTTAAGCAGAATCCGTTCAAAATGCGCCTGCCAGGAGCAGCAGGAGGCGAGAGTCGCCTCAGTCGCAGTTGCCTGCGCGCACGCCTAGTCTTTCGCTGGAAGAGCTGGGTAAAGCCAAGAGTTGGAGTTAATTAACTAAAAAAAAAATAAAATTATATTTAAAATATATCTAAATATATTCCATATTAATAACGGTTATTTCCTTCCGCAGGCCGAGCTAACAGATGTGCTGCGCAAGCGTCGAAACAGGCCCGATGCCTCGGACGAGGATCTGGGCCTGCCGCGCAGCCCCGTCTCGCCGCAGCGTCATGCGGCCGCCGGGCAGAGCCGCAAGGTGGCTGGCTATCAGCCACGCGAGGTGTCCTCCCTGAGCCTGCTGAGCGTGAACAGCACCGATGGCGAGGACAGCAGCCAAGGCCATAGGCAGCACGCGGACAACGGGCTCGGTTCGGTGGTGCTGCGCGAGCGACAGGAGGAGGACGACGACGTGGATGCCGTGGGCGTGGAGCGACATCGGCTCTCGCATGCGGCGGCCAAACACAAAATGGCCATACGGCCCATGAAGAAGATGCCCACGCGGCAGCACAGAAGGACGCTAGAGGTAAGTCAGCAGGGAATGAATATATATTCATATGATATATGCCCTAAGTAAACCCTACCATAAATAATATATATGCCTTTTTTTCTAGACTTCAATACCTGAGGCCAACGAGGAGCTAATTAAGCTGCAGCTGACTCAGGCGCCCAATCCCAGCTTGCGGGCTGTTAAGGGTAAGCATAAATAACATTGCCAATTGAGTAACAGTAGCTAATGCTCGCTCTTTGCAGAAATGGATCTTAAAACAAAGACGCGCTCTCTACCTCCGGGCAGCTCGCTGTCTGCCACCACAACAGCCACTGCCAACAGTAGCAACAACACCACCAACACCACCAGCAGCAGCAGCAGGAGCCACTCCAAGACAATTGAGCAGAAGAGCTCAACGATTACGAATATCAGCAGCAGCAGCAGCGGCAGCAGCAGCGAGCGAACAACATCCTCGTCCACATCCACATCCACATCCACATCCACATCGTCCTCCCAGGCGTTTGGCCTGCGTGCACTCACCTTTAAGGCGGCCAATGCGCTGTTCGATGGGCGTGGCGAGTCGTCAACGGATGGCGATGATGTGACCACGTCTACAGCCACAACGGAGTCCAGCGAGCACGGATTTCTGCGTCGGCTCATGCAGCGCAACTCGAAGCGCAGCATTGCGCGTGCCAACGATGGCCTGGAGGATGTGGACACCAGCCACCAGAATCTGGCCAAGAAACTGCAGATCTCGACCTCCTGCCTGGAGGCAACGGCGCGTGAGCCGGTGCCGCTGCCCAGCAAATCGCGCAGCGCCACCTCACACGAGCAGAACATACAGGAGACGCGGCAGATCATCAAGCGCGAGATTCATAACGAGGGCAAGCACGGACTCAACGCACTGGTCAGCAACTACGGTGTCCAGCCACAGCCGCCCACCGCCGTGAAGCCCAAGTCGGGGCCAGCGGCGCGCCAGCGTTACCTGCCCAAGGAGCTGGGCGCTGGCCTGGACAAGCCGCTGCCGCTGCCGACGAGCGACAGCGACGTCACCAATCTGCTGTCCAAGAGCTCGCGCGGCAACGACACCTTCCAGTCGACGGCCCTGGTGCGGGAGCAGGCGCAGCTCAGAGCGGAGGCCAGCGCAACGCACTTCGAGCGCAAGCCACGCATTGTCGGGCTGAGCGCGTTCCAGCAGAAGCTGTCGCGGTCCAGCGACTCGATGGGCCAGCACTCGAGCTCCTCGAACTCGCTGGAGACCAGCACGGACGAGCCCTCGCCGCTGTACTACGAGGAGAAGCAGCGCAAGACGGTCGAGAAATCGCGCAGTTTTCGCAACTATCAGGAGGAGCGCCACGTGGCCAACGAGTCGGCAGCGATGCACAACAATATGCCCAGCCTGCCGGATCTATCGATCAGCTTCCGTGTGCCGCCCGCCTACTACAAGCAGCAGCAGCAGCAGCAGCTGCAGCAGGAGTCGCCTCGTTCACCCATGTCGCCCATATCCCCGAATGGCAAGTGCGTCTCGCTGGGCTTTGAGATCAACGACAACAAGCTGCTGCAGGCGCGCGCCGAGTCCACGGGCAAGCTGGCCAGTGGCCAGGCCAAGGTCTCGCCACAGCGCAGCTCCACGCTGCTGGTGCCCAGTCCGGGCCCGGCGAACATCTCGGAGATCGAGCAGAACATCGATCTGATTGTCAAGTCGCCGATGGTCAGTTTGCTGCGCAAATCCGGCGCAGTTGGGGAGCAGAAGTCGCCGCAACGTCCCAAGGTGCTGGAGCTGAAGCAGACGACGACATCCAGCACTGCCCTGGGCTCGCCCGGTAAGGAGGCAGTCCAGTGCGCTAGTCCAGTGACCAAGAGCCCACCAAGCACGCCCAGCAAGGGCGCGCCACGCAATACGAAAAATGAGGCAGAGCCCGAGTTTATGAAGATCCAGCTGAATCGTGTCGATCCGGCACAGCTGCACAGCAAGGCCAATCATCTGGTGCTGGCCAAGAATGTCAAATTGTCGCCAGCCACGCCCACTGAGCGCAGCCAGAGCAGCGACGATCTGTCGATGCGACGCCTCAGCGCCGAGAGCGCAAGCAGCATTCACATAGTCGAGCGCCCCACGAAGCCGCTCAGCAGTGCCAACAACAGTCCCGCCAGTCCCGCCCAGCCGTCACCCAGTATTAGCCAGCCAGCAGCAGCCGAGCTGCGGCTGGCCAAGCAGCAGCGGGCCGCCAGCGCCAGCAGCCTGCGCGCCAGCTATGTCAGCAGCAGCAGCAGCTGCAGCTGCAGCGGCGGCAGCAGCGAGCTGCTCGCGACGCCCGGCACACCAAAGAGCAGTGGGACGAGGCCAACTGCGGAGTCTGTGGAGCAGGAGAAGGCCAATGGCAATGCCAATCGGCTCTCGCTGGAGGAGCGCAAGCGTCTGTTCCTCAATGAGGAGAAGTCGCAGGCGGAGCGCAAGTTGACGGAGCGCAAGAAGCTGATTGGCGAGGCCACGCCCCCAGTTACGCCCACCACACCAGTGACGCCCAGTGGGCCGGATGCCAGCAATGGCAATGGCGTGGTGCTGCGCAAGAAATCCTTTGCCAGCATCAATGGCAATAGCAATGCTAATGCCAATGCTAATGCTAATGCCAATGGCAATGCGAACTCAACGGGCCAGGAGGATGCCACGCCGGAGCTGATGAAGGTCTTTGCACGTCGTTCACTCAAGGTGAAGGATGATGATGTGGTGGCCATGGCTCAGGTGGCGGTGGCGAATCACAAGAAGATGTGCAATGGCAGCCAGAGCGTCGATAGCGACAAGGAGAACCAGTCGAACAGCGAGGAGAAGCTGGACAAGCTGACGCCCAACAATGAGCCGACGAAGCTGGTCCAGTCGAACAGTCATGCACATGGCCACGCCCATGCCCACAGCCACACTCACGCCCAGGCGCCCGGCAGCAACCGCAGCACTGTGGCGGATTTTCGCAATCTCAACAACAACAACAACAATGTGCAGTCAGCGCCACAGAAGTTGTCCAATCTGCCGCCCATAAAGGTGAGCAATGCGCGCAATGCCACAGTCAACAGCATTAGCAACATCAGCAACATTAGCAACAGCAGCAACAACAAAAACAACATCAACAAGGCCAACAATGCCAGCAGCAAGCCGTCTAGTGAGCGCTACTCGCTGCAGCTGAAGCCAGCAACAACAGCAATAACAACAGCAGCAGCGGCAGCGGCAGCGGCAGCAGCAACAATTGTCGCAACAGATACAGATGCCACGCCCACCAAGCCCATAGAGCGCTCCGCAACAGTGGGCGAATTTAAGGGCATTCACCAGCGGCGTGCAGAGTGGGAGCAGCGTGTGAAGGAGGCGCTCAAATAAACCACTGTTAGCCTAACAGTGGCGACGACAGAGTGAGCGCTGTTAACTAACAGAATCGCGGTACCTGCTGTTGATGCTCTGTTATCTAGTGATGCTCTCTAGTAGTAAAGTAAACGAATACAACTCTAAAGCAAACGACAACAACTAATGACTAAAAAGAAGTAGGGAAAAGAAACACAAAAAGAAAAGAACAAAAAAAGAAGAGTTAGACAAGGAAAGGACAAGAATAATAATATTAATATTAATCATGTTAGTACATATTAAACGAGTTGGCTGTTTGAGCCCATCCAAAGAAACGAGTTGCGTCTTCGATCGATCTTCAAAATGATTAGTTTGTTTGGCTTACCGTTATTATATAGTTTTTGCGTTTCATTTGTGTTAGTGCACGTCAAAATCTTATATAAAAAAAATAATAA